CATACCCTTAACCGAGAGGACTTCTCAAGAGGGAATGCTTGTAAAAGTCACATCCTTGGCTGAGAGCCGTCTCGGGAGGGAAGACTTATAACTTGAAGTCACATCCTTGGCCGAGAGACATCTCGGGAGGGAAGACTTGTAATTTGAAGTCACATCCTTGGCCGAGAGACATCTCGGGAGGGAAGACTTGTAACTTGAAGTCACATCCTTGGCCGAGAGACATCTCGGGAGGGAAGACTTGTAGTTTGAAACGAAAGTCACATCCTTGGCCGAGAGACGTCTCGGGAGGGAAGACTTTAAATTTTGCGTAAATATAAAGCAAGACATAAATATCTGAATTGTATTGTTATTGATGATTAGATGCCTCGTTAAAAACCTTGTCGGCCAAAAACCTCTTTTCACAATTTTTTAAGAGGAAAAAAGACCAGTTCAAGGAAAAGAGTGCACCATAAGACATTTACATGAGTGAAAATCTAACTGTAATAGGTCTTGAGATGGGTGGAGTTCCATGTCCGAGGAATGACATTGCCAGACAATTCTTCCAACTTGTACGCGCCATTTTGGAGGGCGTGTTGAAAGCGGTAGGGGCCGTCCCAACTTGCCGCCAACTTTCCTTCGGTCAGGTTGCGTCGTGCCGAACCGGATACCCTCCAAACGAGATCACCTTCTTGGAAATTTCGTGGTTTTAATTTGGAGTTAAACCGTCGAGACATTCTCTGTTTGCACGCTTCGGCTATGATTTGGGATCTATCTCGAACTTCATCAATAACATCCAGTTCGGCCCGAATTGCGCCATCGTTGGACTCTTCATGAAAATGTGTGCATCGAAACGAGGGTTCGCCCACTTCGACTGGTATCATGGCATCTGTTCTGTATGCCAACCGGAACAGAGTTTCTCTTGTGCTTGATTGGGGCGTGCACCTGTATGCCCAGAGAACTTCGGGAAGTTCTTCAACCCAGGATCCTTTGGCCGAGCCGAGGAGCTTTTTCAATTCAGAGAGGATCACCTTGTTGGCTGCTTCGGCCTGACCATTAGACTGGGGGTGTTCAACAGATGTGAATCTGTGCCGGATGCCGAGGTTCTCCAAGAAGGTATTGAATTTTTTATCCGTGAAATGAAGCCCATTGTCAGAAATGATTGCGTATGGATGCCGAACCGGGTGATGATGTTCTTCCATACAAATTTTTGGACATTGGCGGCCGTAATGGTGGCAAGCGGCTCGGCTTCGATCCACTTGGTAAAATAATCAACGGCTACTACTAGGAATTTGCACTGACCCTTGGCGAGTGGGAAAGGGCCGAGAATGTCAATGCCCCATAAGGCAAACGGCCAAGGGGCGCTAACCGTGTGGAGCTGCTCGGCCGAGGCGTGTATTAGGTTGCCGTGTTGTTGGCATTGCTTGCATTTCTTCACATATTCGGCGCAATCGGTTTTAAGGGTCGGCCAATAGTAGCCGGCCCTCAATACCTTGGCAGCTAACGTCCTTCCTCCCGAGTGGAATCCACAGATTCCTTCGTGAACTTCTCGGATGACATAGTCGGCTTGCTGCTGGTCAAGGCATTTCAGTAAGGGTGTGGAGAACCCTCGCCGATACAACTCTCCTGCCACCATGGAATAACGTGCCGCTTTTGTTTGGATCTTTTTAGCGTCGATTGGATCAGCCGGCTCTGAGCCGTTAACAATGAAATTCATGATGCCAGTCATCCAAGAGTTTGAAGGTTCCTCGATCGGCATGCATTCTTGTGGGATGCTGGATGTGGGTAATTCCAAGTGGATGGTTGACCGGAGTTGTCCTGGCTTTTGACTGCTAGCGAGTCGGGCTAGCTGATAGGCTCTTTCATTGTTGCAACGCGGTGTGTGTCGGGCTTTTAAAATCGGTTATTTTTAACTTTTAAAATCGATTCCGTAATCGATTTTAAAAGAGCCGATTTTAAAAGTTAACTTTTAAGATCGGTTGTTTTATAACCGATCTTAAAAGTGCTGGCTCTGAAAAAAAAATTAAACTGGAACGGGCCGTTCCAAAATTGGAACGGGCCGTTCCAGATTATTTAAAAGACTACTTGAAGAACGGACATCAGAACGGCCAGTTCTCCTTGCAGTACGGGTCGTTCTACAAGGAGAACGTG